TATTTATTTTGAATAACAATTGCAATGAAGTTATACATTCCTACGTTTTTGATAAATTACGTATAATTTTATATAATTAAGTACTTTCTGGTTTTTGTTTAATCTAGGTTAAAGAAAGAAAACCCATTGAAAACAGCATTCTTAGAACGAATGGCATATTTTTTTATGGTATATGTCGGCAATCGAGCAGACGGATTAGCTGATGGTAGGCGCCGCTGCCGATGGACACCCGCAACACCAAAGAAGTTACGAGTGCGTTGCCGACCTTTTGTGGATAGGGGTTGCGGAAATAAGGATCTGGAAGGGATAGGGGAACGGGAGGTATTAGGCCTCCGGTAAACTCACCCACATGGCGAAACACAACGCTGTGGGTTGTTTCACGCCGGTATTCTGTGAAGCCGTGGTATCACTCCGGTTGAGCCGACCCATTCGTGCCGAAGCTTGGCTCTCCCACACTTATACCACACATAAACCAAATATGAAAGTTTAAATTTGAAAGTCATACCGTTGAAATAAGATGTTTTAAGCTTCTTCTTATATACGAAAAAAATTGTCGTTGAACAAATATTGAATAGCATTGGAAGGAAGAAATTGAAAATTTATTTCCCAGCTTTACGCAACAAAGTTTTCGTTGTTACAAATTAAATGTAAAAGCTTAAATTGTTTTTTTGTAAGAGTTAAATGTATTTGACATCTATACAAGCGCTTTCTTAATCCTAAGATATCAAAAAAGTTATTTAAAAACGTTGCTCTCTGAGGAGGTAGATAAACGTTTTATTTGGCGCTAGGGCGATAAATCTCCAAACTGTGTTACTTATTAAAGAGATAAAAAGAGAGATTAAGATCAGAGTAGAAGTTCTATATAACAGAAGTTATTTCCTAAAAATACTAACGTAATTAAATATCATCATGATGTATGTTTGAAGTATGCATAAATGTCTTTTTTTGTAATAATTCTAATTAGCAGTCTTGAGCCATTTGCTTGCCATAATCCGTACGCCTCCTGCTACGGTTAAACTCCTGTACCTGTATTAACAAAATAAAAGCAATTTGATTTGATTTGACGACTTATTGAATACAAATCCATATAACAAAGCTTCTACTATGTCCGACACTAAATTAGCAATTACGACTTTACTAATCGTTACCAATATCGTATTAACACGCACATCATTCGATAACTTAATTAAAATTGTAATCACGTGAATGCAGGAGTACAATCCGACATAATTCGGATCACATCTAAAATGTCCAATGTTTGATACGCAGTAATTTTTGTCGAATATGATTAAAATTTTAAAGGTATTTTTTGCATAAAATGGTATTATAGTATGTCTATGAAATGTATTATTAAAGCGTTATTTGATTTTGTATTTTATTAAAACAAAGAACAATGATTATAGAAATAAATAGATACTGATTGACAGCTCCTGTGACGGTCTTGTTAGTCCCTTATATTTCTCGTCATACCTAGGTACCAGCTTGCTTAGGCTATTAATGTAAACGAGCAGACAGACCACCTGATGGTAAGCAATCAGTGCTGCCCATGGACACCCGCAACATAGGAGTTACGAGTGCGTTGCCGACCTTTTGGGGATTAGGGATTGGGGAGGAATTGGGGAAAAAGAAGGATTGGGCCTCCGGGAACCTCACTCACACAGCGAAACACAACGCTGTGTGTTGTTTCACGCCGGTTTTCTCTGAGGCCGTGGTATCACTCCGGTAGAGCCGACCCATTCGTGCCGAAGCATGGCTCTCTCATGCTTTAAAAATATATGAAACCGAATGCGAACTAATACGAGTATCAACGACCAAATTCTAGCCATAACCAAGTCAACTGATCCATGGCTGAGCCATCAAAGAGATTAATTTCGAGAATTCTCGTTAAGTTTGACTGTAAACAAAGTTACTGCCATCAACAACCTGCAAACAGTGAATGCTCTCTTCAACGTGTTTGTGACACAGAGAAGCAAATCAAACTGCACCACTCCAGCCTAAGTAGACCTCAATTCATATCAATCATACCTGTGATAACAGACCAGTTTATACTAGTGTATGACCATGATTTGCCATCAATTCATCGTATCAATTATTACGAAAGATTCAGAGGCACATATGAACTCGAACACGTCAAACAAGATGGAAGCCGAATACAGTTTACAAGGCTTTGTGTTCTAAAATGGACTTAATGGATGGTCTACTGGCTATGAATATTTACGTAGACATCTTGATTATTTTACGTTTTTTTTTTTCTAAAATGTTTGCACGTTCAGTAAAGTCGTCTGCACTGCCAATAGCGTCTTAGTATGAAACAGGTGAAAATACCCAAAAAAAAAACATATTTATCATTTACAGCAAGCGGTGTAAATTATTATTTTCAAAATTCATCGATGTAATTTTTTTATGTGATATATCGGCGAACGAGCCGACGGATTACCTGATGGTAAGCAATCAGCGCCGCCCATGGGCACCTGCAACAACAGAGGAGTGGCTGTGGTTGTTTCACGTCAATTTTCTCTAAGGCCGTGATATCACTCCGGTCGACCTGACGCATTTGTGCCGAAGCATGGCTCTCCCATATTTAAATTAATATATTTGAACTCCAATGCTTGACATTATTTTTTTATCGTCGCATTGAAAGTAGTTTAAGCCGATTATATACATCATTTTGGTGTTTCATAATATTAAAAAACTATTTTCGTACCCACCTTTGATATTCCCGATTTTCCATAATCCTTCATATTAGATGATATTTGAGTTTATATGTTAGTGGATAGAAAATGTTTAACCCAATGGTTTACTTTAGTAAACAAAAAATTTAGATAAATGTAGAATGTTATTTGTAACGTAAAATTTATCTGAAAAAACTGTCAGCGTTAATAAATACAATGTTCTAAGACCGATGCTTGGTGTTCGGTATAAAAAAAAACACTCGTTACTTGAATTTCTTTTTGGACTAAGTACGAACTAACAGACCCTTTACCTGATGGTAAGCAGTGAAGAACGTACAAGTACAATAAAGAAGTTGCAAGGTCCAGCGTTGGGGGTTTGAGATTTTTTTGATTAGGATTTAGGGATTAGAGATAAGGTCCCCCTTATCTCTAATCCCTAAGGTCCCCCTTATCGGTCTAATAGGGCATCCGGTAATGTCACCAACACGGCCAAACAAAATGCTGGCATTTTGAGCGGCCGTCGTATCACTCCTGTCATGCCAGCCTGCTAAAGAATAGTTTTCCCGCAGCTAAAATGTTTTCAGTATTTATTTCAATTAGGTATAAATCTATGAATCTAAATTTCTTTTTTGTTGTGTTTGTTATTGTCAGGAGAAGGTTCTTATCAAAGAAAATATTAAAAAAGTAGAGGGGAAGATTAGGAAAAAGTAACCCTTTCACAGCGAGATAGTTGGACCCGTGCGAAGCGGCGGGCGGGCCGCTAGTTTTAATATAGATTTGCTACTTAATACTATATTTGTAAACAGTGTTGTCTCAAGTCTCACATCATAATATCGTCTCACTAAAAACAACATTTGCTTAGTAAACCAAAACTTTGCAGAGCTACACTCAATACCACCCAATTATGCAGAAAGCTCTCGTCAAACAAACCGGTGTGATTGAAAATGTATGCTGCAATAACTAAGTTAGGTAAGTAAGGGTAAAGTAGAGCGCGAAGGTGAATATTATGCAGCTTAACTTGGCTTACACATTTGATCGTTCAGGAAACTTAACATTTTGTTCAGTAAGGTCATTTTTTTATGGAATAGGTGGCAAACGAGCAGACGGTTCACCTGATGGTAAGCGATCGGTGCTGCCCATGGACATCCGCAACACCAGGGGGGTCACAGGTGCGTTGCCGGCCTTTTAAGAAGGAATATGCTCGTTTCTTGAAGGTTTGAAGGTCGTATCGGTTCGGGAATACCGCCGCCGTAAAATCATTCCAAAGTTTGACGTTTCCATTAATGTTAGTGTAGTATGTTACCTTCATTAAGTGTTAGGTACGTTTCCGTACTGCTGTTAAAAAGTTTATTTCTTCCATCTATTAAAGTTGCCATCCTTTCATTTCCAGTCTTTCAATAAGTCATGTACCTATTTATACGGAATGCGGTTATAATTTTAATATTTGAAATGAATTTTCATACGGTTAGAATTTCAATATTTCAGAGGAATTAACCAACCCAATCATTTTTCTCTCTGAAATCCCAATACCCAAAATCCCGGTAACGCACTCGTAACTCCTCTAGGGTTGCGGATATCCAGGGCTGCCGATTGCTTACCGTCATGTCTGTATGCTCGTGAACGGTTATATCACATTTAAGAATAACAACTATACTTTAAGGGTCAAGAGGAAATTAAAGAGTTTTCTGGAAAAATAAAATCCATTTTAGACCTTCAGAGAACAAAATTAAACTATAATTAGTTCACTATGAACACATTATTTATTGGAAGCTGAGAAGCTGAGAGTGGACTTACTAAGAATTTAACAATCAGAAATATAACAGGTTCTAATATTTCTAAAAGGGACGTAAGAAAAAGAAACGTTAACTTACACGCTGTAGAGTTACAAATTTCGTTCGTAGCTATGTACTTAATCGAAAAAGCCGCTGTCGGAAATCGCATTTAGGGCTTCAGAGACTACGTGATCAGTTTAGGAAAAGAATTGATACGAATAAAAACAGTAAACAAAATACTCGTAATAAAAGGTGACGTTAAAAAAGAAGTACTCGTTAAGTATCATAGTTGGAGGAAAGAATATAAGAGAATTTGGCTATAGCTTCATAATTTTCAGTATCATTAGAAAGTACTTGCATAATAATTAACTGTAGATTAGGGTGAACATTTAACTCATTTTTCTTTTATTCGTATCACTCACATAAAAAAATATTCATATATATATTTCACATAATCGAAACCTTAAAATAATAATTTCTTTGATCCTCCAGTATCTTCTTGATCACAGCAGAAACAATCATTTATATCATGTTCTTGTTCATAATCTGTTGGTTCATGTTACAGTGGCGAGTCCACCGGGAGGCGCGAGTGCTCCGCGTGAGGAAGCACCAACCCGCCCCCCGCCACCACCCGCGCCCCGCAACGGCACCCCTCCTAGTAAGCACGGTTTTACAAATGTGGCAGTTGTGGCAATACGACTATATCTTGTAAAATTTGACATGTGCCGTAAAAACATAACTAAATAAAGTTAGGATTTACTTGGTGATAAATGACTATCAACTCTGTTTTTAATATCATAGAATACGTATAAGGAATAAGACTTATTCTTCTGAATAAGTGACGTAAAAAACTATACAGTCTAAAATAACTGTATTTGTTGGTAAAATGACAACCTAAGTGCAAAAATTATCTTAACACTCATGAAGAATTGAAACATAAATTATGTTAAGATAAAAATTTGAAACCGAGTAAGCCTTGAGAAGACCTCTAACTCAAAAGTTAAAGTTTTCAGATTTTTCAAATTAAATTCAGAATGTAACTAAAATGCAAGAAACTTATGTTTTCCTTTGATCATAACCAAGCTAACCAGCTGAAGCGGAATACAGTGGAAAACAATTGACAGTTCTTAAATGATTAGTGTGAAAATTTCGGATCAACATTTATTGTTTTTTAACAGTTTCTGAGTAAGAACTGATATACTTTTAATCTGTAGTATCAATTATATTCAAGATGCTAATGATCTATCGCCACAGCTGCCACATATCGTGCACGTTACCTTTCGTCTGTCGTCGTTTGTTTTTGACTCCCGCGCATCCAACACTTCACGCTTGCGTCATATGTACAATGATTACTATTCCTCTACAGTCCACATGATGACCTATGTTACATACATTTTGAATATTTATAAAGATTATTATGACCAGGTGCAATATATGTGCAATATTAGATTAAGCAAATGACTGTACGCTACTTTATATGCGGGGTGCAAAGGCATTCGGATCCGATGTCCGATTGAACCCCGTGAAGATATGATCCATCCATTGTAAGGGGAACATCGTGAAATGACTTCTCCCGCCGAGAGTCGGCGGGAAGGAGTGTCAGACTCTTACTGACTAGAAAGGCCCCCGTTCTTTCTCCTGCTCTGGGCCGAGGTCGCGGTGCCCCATTGCGCTTACCCCGCAACCCCGGCTTTTTTCTATGATAGTCGCACTATATCCGTCATCTTTCAACAAATATCCTTATTCTGTCTATGTTTTTTACCTTTAACTTCACGGCTGTAGATCAGCCGTAGACGTTCTGCAGGAACATTATAACACAATTAGAATGTGAAATAGCACCAACCAAGCCATCAAAAACTTTTCATTGGCAAAACTATGTTTTAATATTAAGCGTCAAAATGTGAGTAACACTGGTCATCTTTTAAACCTTTTTTCAGTTCTGAACTCCTTTTGCGTAGGATTATGTTTTCGAAATTTAAATCACTAGCCAAAATTTGATTCTTAGGTTACTATGTAGTTCCCTTTCTACCAGCTACCTCGATAGTTAACAATATAACCTATGCACAAATAGTTACCTTACAATGTAGTTTTAGAACTTTACCAACCTGAACTGCTTACAATTTCCCCTCTTGTCGTTAAACGTCACTAAAGATATATTTCTTTAGGTTATTGCGCAGAACTTTATGAAGACTATTAAAACGCTATTTGTAACTAATTTGAAACGATTGTAATTTGATACTTCCTCGGCTTTAGTTTTTAGTTTGCGAGTATACAGAAATTATATGTTTATAAGACAATATCACACACTTCATTTTGAACTTTATTTGCTACATGAAACATCACATTTTATCATAACTAAAAGGTTTATTATAACACAATAAACTAACGCCTATCCTGACTAAACACATGCAAACTAAGCCGCACTAGGCTTAAATGTGAACATCAAAATTCACAGTACGTTTTAGTTCAAGCAATTCCATGATGTTCCACACAATTCTACAGTCTATATCGACTTAGGAAATGTTCATTGTATTTTAATGCCATACTTCGCTACATTTCGGACTGGCAGCTAACACAGGCAACAAAGATGTTTACTACAAATTCGTTGTTCTATATTTGAATGTGTATTTATGCAAAAACTATAGGTACTAAAGGTAAATTAAAAAAAAATATAATTTATAAAATATTCCTTGCATTCTCTCAAGAGATCAAGAGATAGATATCAATATGTTAAGAATTGTTTGTGTGTTTGTGTGTGTGTGTGTGTGTGTGTATTTTCCTATAGTATTTCACTTTACTTTTAACTTAATTTCTTAATTACGTGTCGTATCTTTTCTCGAAATATTTTGTTCTTCTGTGATATGAATGTTTCGAATATCAAAACTTTTTCTTCTCAGTGTTGTGTTGCATGGGTTTGTTCGTTTTACTTTAACTAATTCTTATTACATTGTAAATTATTTACTTTCTCGTTGACATGTTTTTTTGTAACTTTTATTGTGTAACTTTTCAAAATGATTCTTTTTCTTTCTCTCTTCTTTCTTTCATTTATAAATACTTTATCTTTATGAATAGTAAACTTCAAGCAGTATCTTACATACTATTAACTATAACAACTTAACCATATTTCAAATAATTAAGCCAAAATATTTCATAACGTTCTTTGTTACATCATATTGTGAATGAATGAATGAAAGTCATGTCTCCTTTATTTCTTAGAGATCACCGACTATCTTGTGAAGTTCTTAAATATTGAGGAAGATAGTTAAAATAGATATTCTGTTGCGTAAAGGTAGATTCGCCACAATCTCCTAAAACTGTTGAAACTCCTGTAGATACAACCATGAAAACACCGATACTTTGAAGTCTGGCAAGCACTTAGACCAATATGTCACCAATTTTCATATAACTTTATATACCTACACTTTCGAAACAAGTGATACGGCATCCGAAATCCGAAACCAATTCTTTCACAGTCATCATACACACCAATATTGGAAAAGCAAAAAAATCCAATCACGTACTTTTTATTTTTATTTTTGCTGCTATCCCTATTGACAAGCCAAAGTTATCGGTGACATAAAAAACCGAAGCACAGATAGATCCATGAAAATTTTACCGGCTCTGATTCGTATACCTAAGTCTCGTTTGAACATAAACGAAGTTGTTAAAAGCTTAGCACTCAAAACAAACCATTTTAACGACCGGTTTACTGCCCAAACGTGAAACGTAAGCCTGCCGTCAAAATACCCGCGTTTGGGTAGTAATTTATTAGGTACATGAAGCCTTAAAAACAATGGCGTGAAATGGAAAAGTTCTGTAGGTTTTCTTCGCTGAACACTTTTTCACAGATTGTTAAAATTACGAGCATAAGTCTGTCGGTCCTTTTCTGTATTAAAAATAAATTTAAATTTAAAAATATGCTTGTAAAATACGGGCCAATAAGTATCGACGCTAATCACTTTAGAGACAGTTTTATGGATTTAGAGTAAGGTCTTTATATAGCTTACCATTTATGGTCATGCAAACTAAACGTGGGGTGAGAAGAAGAGCCACACTCTTACTGATTCAAAACCTCTCTCCCATTTTCTGTTCCGAGCGGACGCGGTAATACAGATACATATTATTGCAAGTTAAGTTAGAGCTTGTAAAACAATTATGTTTTAATATCAATATATTTAATTTCGAATATTAGGTACTACATGTTATATATTTCCTAGAGCTGAGGGCCCTTGTATGTACTTCTATTAACGAGTGTTATAAAAAGGCGCAAAAACAATTACACTACATTATTGGACACACTTTAGACCTCAATACTAACACTAAGAATATCTAAAACTGAAAGACCGAAATAAAAACTGAACATTTTTCTTCAGAATAGGACCCGAGGCCCTTTACTCAGTAGTCGCGTTAGTTAATTACTATTCCCCCATAAGGTTAGTATTTATTTATTAATTTCTCAATATTTTACTAGAAATTTTGAAAAAAGAATGACTTCTTCCCATGCACACTTCATTTTCAAACATTCAAGACTTTACGAACGAAAGAATTCCTATGTCTTGTTCAAGTAGTAAGTGTTGTTTTATGTTGAAACTTCTATATTTTTACGCAACCAATAAACATAAGTCAGTGTTACCATATGAAAATATTTTACGTGGCAAAAGAATTCGTTCATCATACAAGTTACCTTCATATTTCTCGCTCACACAAATAACTTATTTGTTAAGAAGATTGCGCATTTTCTTTGTGATAGAGTGCGGAAGCGTTTCTACATAGTTTGTTGTGGAATATTTATAGTGCTGGTGGGTTTATTAATGAACCCAATATATTGTTTACTAGCTGTGCCCCGTGCTTTCACCCTCGTTATAATTATATTTATAGCCTATGTTTATCATGGCTAGTGTAGCTTTCCAGTGGTGAATGAATGTTTTAAGTCAGACAAGTAGTTTTGGAGCCTATTCAAATTCAAACAAACAAACTTTATTTTTGTTTATAATATCATATACCTAGCGTAGATTGGTTCAGTTAAGTAGATTATACTGTAATTCATCAGACGTCGTTGACGAGGTAGATATATTATAAAAGTGGATAAGTGTGACACGGACTCGAGTATGATGACTTTTGTACCTAGATAATGAAAGGGCCCTCATTTTTAATATTTCTTATTTTTTATTTATTTATTGTTGCTATAAGTTACAGAAATAAATTGATTGCCCAAGTATCAACTGTCTAATTAAATAAAAATATCACTGTTTGCAAAATACAGCCTGGTTAACACCCAGTCTTACATACCCATTCCTTTTATCAGTTAAGGATATGTTATACACCGTGCTAAAAAAAATTTGTAGTAAAAAATAATAAAATATAATAAAAAAGTAAAATATAATTTGTAGTATTAGTGTTTAGGCATTGTAACGAGACAGTCCACGATTATAATTAGAATATTAAAAACGACATATTATATACTTATACTTAATTTAATTATAATCATTCTAAAAATATAACACTTCATACCGAATAAACAAAGTCATTGCTTTCAAATCTTGGAAAATATTACAAACTGCAGAAGCATTTCGCAATCAAATTACAATTTCAATTTGTCAACCGCTAGCTGTGCAATTCTGGTTCCCTCCCGTCGCCATGGAAACGGGCGCGTCAACAACTCGACGGACAGCTCGTGATAACATCTTGGCTACTTTATGCTCTGAATGAATGAATAATTCGAAAAAAAAAAATATATTATCTGTATAGCAATTGGTACAAATACATTATTTCTGAATGTTCGTGAACATGAGTTTATGATTAACTAGCGGTCCGCCCTGACTTTGCACAGGTGAAATAGTGATACTTAATTTCTCCGCGATTTAATACATGTTATTTATTTATTCTTTATATACAATTGCATATCGGAGGATTTAATGCTAGAAGCATGTTATCTACTTACTAATATTATAAAGAGGTAAAATTTGTAGTTTGTAAGTCTGTATGTAGGGGGTAATTTTTGGAACCGCTGGTCGGATTGGCAAAATTCTTTCACTGATAGATAGCTACAATGACTATAAATCATCATGCAGTAGTGCGAGATTAACTAGTCATACATATAAATCTTCCTCTTTAATCACTCTATCTAATAAATAAAACCGCATCAAAATCCGTTACGTAGTTTTGAAAACTTAAACATACATAAGCATATAGGGACAGAAAAAGCGACTTTATACTTTATACTGTAGTGCTTTTGAATATCTTGGACAGAATTATTTTGAACATTAATAAAATATTCATACAATTTCGACAATATTGAGTAGCAGTTATCCTAACAATTTTCGTTAACTTTAGATATTGTTGGTACAAATTACTCCGAAATTCCAGAAATGATTCTACGAAATAGCTAATTTTATTCCAGTTATAATTAACAAAAGATAAAAGTAGATAAATATTTTCAAGTAAAATCTTAAATCAGAGCAAAATATAATTATTTTGACAATACGTTTTTAGGACGAAGATTTATTTTATTCGAGATTAAGATAGAAATTACTTTCTTAATCTCAAAATGAAAATGTTTTAAAAAAAAACAAATTCTTAACTGTGTGTATTTCGGACGCTTTACAAAAGCAGCTTTGTTTGAGATAAATTTGAATATAGATCGTAGTTTTTATGAACAACTTACTGCAAATCTTTTAGCTTATGTCTTAAAAATATTTGATTTTTAAAAAGCAAGGTCGTAATTATATAGCCCTAGCCCCGTTACCCTGACTGAACATCGGCCCTGTAGAGTAACGTAGATTGCACGCTCTGGGCTCGTTATAGTATTAAAGGCGCATCTAATAAACCACAACATTCGATAAAAGTGTAGTTTAACATTAATTTTCACGATGTTGGGAACGACGTGCAGCTAACTTCAGTTAGTTTTAATGCTCCTCCTGAATATGAGCCCTTAGCGCGACTTGAAACTAGTCGAGTTCCATGTCAAGCATTGAGTAGGCCAATACATTTAATTCCTTACTTACCAATTACTACTACTTAACAATTAATTAAATATGTTTCACGAAAGGAATATCATGATCTAGATAAATAAAGGTATATTATAATATAATGTAAATTGTAAACCAATTTCCGACATACGTTCATTTTGCACAAAGCCAACTGACAAGCTAACGCCATTTTTCGTTTAAGTGTTTTGCGTATCTGTGATGTTAACAAAACATAATTATAACCGCTTAAATGTAAGCGATAAACTAAGTACCCAGCTGGTTGATAGATGCAAAATATTGGGATCAATTCTAGCTAAAATTATAAATCTGACTTTAATTTATGGTATAGGGCGCCAATCCAAGAGAAATATATGTAATAGATACATTATTGCGCTTACCCCGCAACCCCGGCTGAACGTCAGCCCTATTGGGCCACGTCTATGGAGGTTTTTTTCATGATACTTAGACATTCCAGTTTCTAACAAGACTTTGTTTCTAAAACTTACGTTTTTAAATTATTGTTTGAAACAGGATGTTTTCGAAAAAAATGCCATTGTATTTTTAGAAATATTTATATAGAATTAATTTGACAAATTATAATACGATGAACAAAATTCTAGTGCAATAAATTATATTGTAAAATAAAATTTTAATAATTCAATAAATTCAATTTAATATTTTTCTACTCGACTACTGGTATTTTTAAAGTGGACTAAGCATTTTTCCTTTTATTATTATACAAGCTAAGCATAAAATGAGACACAAAACGCCGTTCCACAAGTCTCAGCGGACTCTAAACTTTCTTGGCGCAACAAATCTAATTAAACCCTAGAGAAAATACTGAGAATTTAAAAATAAAATAATTTTCCTCCTTACTCTGTCAGGTTCATAATTAGCCCTTCGTAGAAGAGATAATTGAAATTAAAAAGAATTTTACATTGATATTTTCTTTTCTCAGGTCAACACGGAAGTCTTATAGAAAATCGTGAGTATTTTGTTGGAAAAATAGAGATTTCTTTCATCTAACAAACTAATAAAAACTAGCAACAAACTAATTATTTACTTACTAACTTAAATAAACTAAAAAAGTTCGCTTTGGGTAAAATGCTCTTGTAATAAATATGCATGTTTTTTTCTATAAACTAGTTATCAAATACTAATTGAGGGTAAAAAGTTCTGTTGGAATATAAAAAAAAATATACGAATACGTATGTTAATGTTTAAAAATTCTGGTGATTAATAATCATTATAAATTCACGTTCTGAATTTAAAATCACACGCGCCGTTTGAAGTTCGAAATGTAAACAAACCTATACGAGTATTATCTGTGGAATCTATGTTCGGTATTCAAAAACTGAATACTAAAAAATGGCTAGCGTAAATAGATTTTACTGGTATTGGCGTTTTTTTACTCGGTGCATGGTGATAGTGATATTTCAAACTATATATTCCAATCAAATTTTAAATACAGAAACAAATATATTTTTTTACTGCCAAATCCTATACCATATTTATTAAAAAAAAGACGGTTGTTCTGATAGCATTTTTATTTATATATTTTAAGATTAGCCCTCTTACTCTACACTGAAGTGAAAAAAACTTTTTGATAAAATTTGGATTATTTTACTTCATCAAATCAACGAGGGTTTTAATCACTAAATACACAACACAAACATACCTACACGCTTCTTACATATTTTCTTGTTACTGTTAAATACGTCGGAATGTGCATGTTCTTTTAATTTTTTGTAACATATTATGTTTATATGTAGATGAGACTTACATATATTTGCATGTGAAAGGAGTTTGTAATATAATCTGGCGGTCTGGTATTTTTCTGCACTCTTGTTTATGGAATGAGAACTATAGTGATTCTTTTTCTTAAATACTTTTAGGTAGCAATGTTTTAGTGAACGATTCAATCTCAAAAAACTGGCTGTATTAAGTCGAATGATGCTTGTTGCATAGACTGTTGGCGCGGTGGCTGGGCAACTGGCTGCCGCTCAACGTGCGCGGTTTCGCTTCCCGCAAGGAACAACTTACTCTTTTTTGTGATTTACAAATTGTTGTTCCCGGTCTGAGTGTGATGTCTATGTGAAATTTTATGTTTGTAAATGACACGACACATACAAGAGTAACAAAAAATGAATAAAAAAAAAAGAATATAACGTAGTCGCTTCATTAGACTCAAAGTTCGATAACCTAAAACATTGCTATTTAAATTAACTCATTCATTTCTCTTTTCAAACTTTATGTCAGTATGTTAGTTCTAATTTTAATTCCATTTTCGTTTGTCAACAGAACAAGGTGCCTTGACGATCGTGCGCCGCTCCTCAAGCCGCAGTAAGGCAGAGAGTTGTCCAACGCCCACGGACGAACAGCTCGACTCTCTTGACTTAGACACTGAGCACTTGCCCGCCGTCGACACGCCCGATGCATGCGACAAGGCCGCCCTTAGGTAAATATAAATTACATTTAGGACTGATTTTTCAATGGCTAAATAAAAGTATTTGGGGAATAATTATGATGCTATCGCGTCCGAATGTTTGTATTAGACAGTGACAGCAACATTTTTATTCCACAGATACAAACTTAAAACCATAATCCATCCTTGTCTCTATTATTTTTAACGAGGGCAATGTTGATACTAATTTTAAACATTTCTCTTCAATCGCTCTATCTATCAAACAAATCCGCATCATCAATCCGTTGCGTAGTTTTAAAGATTTAAGCATACATACCAATATAGGGACGGAGAAAGCGACTTTGTTTTGTAGGATGTAGTGATCTATTTATTTGTTTGTCGATGAGATTTTTAACATAGATTTTCATCCATGCTGTGTTTAGGCTTGTGTTCTTCCTTTCCTAAATTATTCGTGATAACTATACAATGGGAGAAAATTTGCTCTTATAGTTTAATAAGAAACCCAAACAGATCTTCTTCGTATAATAAGCATCCATAAACAAATTAAGTTTTAAGTAGGTATATGTATATAACTTTGAAGTCGGTCCCCACCCGGATACACGTCTCTGTTAGTTTAGGATCGCTGCAAACTCGGTAAGCCTTTTATACTTTGAATAACCACGACGTCTTTAATATACGGACTTAAAGATCTTTGTCAAATAACTTTAAATACATACAACATACCAAGCAGAGCCAAGTTAATCAAGCGTTACTTGAATTCAGAACGTCTGTTAATTCCTCGAACGGAATAGACTTGAGTTACATTTTAGACTGTCCGTTTGTCCTTTTTTTAAAAAAAACCTTGCCCCACAATAGGGCTATCTCCTGTGCCGTGGGTGCGGTTAGAAACATACAATTTCACATAAACATCATACCCAGACCTGAAACAACAATTTGTAGATCACACAAAGATTTTTTTCGTGCGGGACGCGATTCAGCAAACGTTGCGCGACAGCCCAGCCATCGCGCCAACCATGCAGTTTTGACACAGACTTATACAAATCTAATCAAGATTAAAATTATGTTAAATTATTTTGCTGAATATTCATTTACCTATATATACAATATAGCAACATAATGACGCAGTAGCATCTACAAAATACTCGTTTATGATCTTACAGGTTTATGATTTTTTAAATACTTAATAACTGTTATTATTAGTATATATATTCAGAACTCAACTCACCTCAACCACCCCCACCCTCCCCCCTCCTCAGTCCTTAAATCCCTAATTACTTACAAAAAGGCCGGCAAAGCAGTCGTCATTCATTTAGTGTCGTGAAGATGAGTCTACTTGTTTGCCGATGTGTTAAAAAGTACAGAAAAAAAGAACCACAAAAATGTTTATTGAAACTGTCTCTTCACAAAAGGATTTAAAAACCCAGATTTACAAAATCCCATAAGAAGACTCTTATCCCTTTTTCATAAAGTAACAAAAGAAATTAAATTCCCTTTAAAAATCTTACATCTTTTACGTTCAAAATGCAGGAATAAAATAAAAGATAAAAGAGTTGATGCTTATCCAAAATAATGGGACGCTTATTGAAGGATGTTTTCTTGAATTTGTCAACGTAATAAGAGAAAATAGTTACTAGTAATAGGTAACTATTCAAAGTTTCTTCTTATTATCTTTTGCCTGTATCTTTCTATTCAGATACCTACATATATCTTTGTTTATTACAAGCCTTAGTTGGCCTGCTCTCCAATCTGTGGTTTTTATCTTCACTAAGTATCAAATTTTTTTTTTTACTTGCAATAAACTAGTGCTTGACTGCGATCCCACCTGATGGTAAGCAGTGATGGCGCACTAGTTTATTAAGAGCCTATTTACTCTAGCCTTGAAGACACCTAAATTGTATTCGGACCGAAAGACTGCAGCCGGCAAACTGTTCCAATAAATATAGTTGGTGAAGAGGTTTATTTAAAAAAGGGTAACGATGGCATTTCTTGCTCGTTCTTCTCCATTCGAGTCTACAATTTGGACACCTAGCTTCACTGACGAACAGACTGACCGTCCACCATTCGATTTTGACGTTTCAAAAGTACCTATTTGTGGTTTAGTTGGAATAATTGACTTTGACTTTGAATTTTTATACGAAAATCAAAATAAAATAACGTGGAATTTTTCAATAGTAACTATCATGAGACATACAACATTTATTCAGAATAATGACTTACCTACTTACGTGAATTAACTGAACTGAGAGAAAAGCTCTCCTATTTTCAAGTAACTAAGTCGTATTTTCTTCGTAAGTAAGTCGTTATTTTCAATAAATGGAAGCTTCGATTCTAGTAACAAGTCATTATACTTTTATTGAAAAATAATTTTCTTTTATCTGATTTATGAATACACGAAATATTTTTAACATTACCTTCTGAGCTTTTCTTCAATATTATCTTGTTTATAAAGATACTCACAGTATGACAACCCGACCCCGAAAATCATGGGAATCGAACCCGCATCACGTTGCACGGCAGCCCGTGGCCTTGCCACAGTATCAACTGAGCAGTCAATAATTTAATGAAGAACTAACAAGATTAATCTTCTCTAACAAACTTATTCGAACCAACCTAAAACACAAAATAAAATATAAAAATAATCTCAGGTTAAAATTAATAATAAAATTGTCATTTAATCTTAAGACTGCACCCCAGGGAGATAGGTCCTCAGCATAATTTATAGTTTAATCCCGACAGAGTTAATGAAAGACATCTGAAACCAGCTTTGTTCTTAAGGAATTACATTTATTTGTCACTACATAAGATTTGTAGTGTCGAGGATTTACTAAGAAAAAAAGAGTACTTATATTCTCGATGTAAGACGTTCTTTAAATATATTCAAGAGGATTTTTTCCATCGTTCCTATGGGAGTTTCACGAGGTTTCTTACGTAAATTTTGTATGGTAATTGGTTCGCTCTGAAGGGTTGTGGCATGATGTTAGATAATCTTAAACCCGAGGACTAGAAAGGGATATTTTTTATATCTAATTTTATTCGAATTGTTTTAGGAGTTTTTGAGATAAACGAATAAGACCTCTTTGACGGAGACGCGACACGTCGTGGGGTCCATCATACATTGTTCATAATGTTAAAATAATGTTTCTCGCCGATGGTGAGGCGAGAGGGAATGTCAGTCTCTTACTGACGAAAAACCATCCCGTTCCTATTCCCACTCCAGCTCGAGGTCGCAGTACAATTATTGAGCTTGTACTTGCAACCACGACTAAACATCAGCCTTATAGGGGCTCCATCAATGGTGGTATATTGGCTCTTTGAGGCGCAAGTGGAACGCTCACTGTAGACTCGCGTCTGGGTCAGATCGGGCGACGAGCTTCCCTTGTTCGCCGTTGTCATATTAAAGAAACCGTTAACGAATCGTCCACCTACTAAGTAGCACTCAACCAAGAGTTCTGACCCAGGGTCTTAGAACCAGAATTTCATACTCATCAGTTACACTGAACTAGCAACGCAATCAGCTTACCCACCTTGCTTTAATAACATTTACATCAATCGAATGTCCGACCAAAAAAAGTTTGCGGCACGTTCGGATATTTCCGTTCATTGTCGAGTAATAAGTTCAATTATTCCGGATGATTTCGTCCGGCACCGGAGGGAGATCGGAACGCAAACCGGATTGCTTTTAAACAGCTTATGAAGCACACTGAATGGTTATTGTTGAATAGTTCTTTGGAGTCCATCGCATTGTGTTTATTTTGCGAAGAGAATGGTTTGTTTGGGATAACTTTTTATTTTAGTTTTGTTGTTATTGATGTTTGGCATAGATTTTTGTACCTAGTGAATACCTACACCTTTTTGTGAGGGGAAAATCATCTCGCACAGGCGAGACAAGTCATTTGATGATTTTCAGCTCGATTCATCCTGGGATGAGGCGAGTCACCTCTCAAAACCAATATTAATATAATTTTATGAAGTAAGAAACCTCGAATGGATACTAAGACAGCTTTAACACTAACATTTAAGGCTAAAACACATCGTCAATTTTTCCTTAAAAGTTAAATTACTTATCAAACACAGTAGTTATCGTCAAGACTTGTAACTAACTGCCGTACTGTTAAAGTCTATTCAACCCCAGCATAAAATTCCCTATGGAATATTCCAGATATTTTTTGCAAAGCGGCATTACCGGCGACTTGACCTCAAAACGCAGGCCGCGACGTCTTGAAAGTATTTTTATAAAAAGTCAGGAGTCACAAGGGCTAATGTTGTTCGCAAATTCTTGACGGCTTTTTATTCTTCAAGATTTTAATACAGAACTTGGAAGGTTGCACTGTAAGTGAAACAGTTAGACTTGTGAAATAAATTACAGGAATTCATATTAAATACATTAGTTTATGCTTTTTGTATTCATTTTGTAGACATAAGCATATAAAGGTCGTGGTTGACGGTAAATGCTCAGACATATCAATGACATGTTACAAATTAGTGGCATTCATTGTTATGTGGATGACAGCGCGGGCGAATAAAGTGTACCGGCCGCGCTAACATTTCTCGTGAAAAAGTCATCGAGAGTCAAAACGGAGTGAAATCGAGACCTCTTTAGAGAGAATCTCAGATTGGGGTAGACATAAACCACACCAACAGTGACTAACTATAAAAAACTTTACAAATACTAGCTTCTGCCAGTGGTTTCACTCACATTATTAAAAAGAAGCCTATGTATTATTACAGACTATAATCTATCTCAGAGCCAAATTTCAAAATTCATTCATATACGTTCAATAGTTTTTACGTGAAAGAGTAACAAACATCCATCCATATACATATACTTAAAAACTTTCTCGTTTATAATATTAGTAGGATTCTAGCGAACTCTCTGAGCTGCGAACAATAGTAGTTATTGGTCATCAAAGATCAAACGATGCGGTGTAACGTGATTGTGAACGGATCACTGGCAACCATGTTACAATGGATATTACACGATAGACGGTATATGTCAGCGATGCTATGGATGTCATAACTGTAACCGAAACTAT